GGGGAAAGCTGCGCAGGGCCACAAGAGAGCTTTCGGAGGAGGCGGAAAAGGGCAGCTTCTGGCTCTGGTTGAGGAGGAAGGATAGGAGTTGGGGAAAGTATAGCTAACCTCAATGACAGCTGCGGGGGATTACATTCTCCAGCTGCAGGGAGTGACAAGGAGACGTCCTTGTCACTGCTCCGCCACCATGAGACGTTCCAGGATTAAAGGGGCGAAACGTTGGTGATTGGTGGTTCCTGGCTGATGACCCTGCAGCTGACCCTGCAGCTGACCCATGGGCACCGGAGGAGGTGCGACAGGCAGCAATGCTAAGCAGGAAATTACATCCACCTGTATACATCAACTTATACCTTCACAAAAATGCACGCGAAAGTGCTCGATCACACACACCTGTCGCATACATTTTTGGAAAAACCTGCCCCTATCCATACCCATACCCACATATAATTTACATGTATGCACACACCTACTTAGGTGAAAGACTTGGGTACATTTTGCTCATTCTTAGTGGTGTTAAATACACCCTATGTAAAAATTTGTAATTTTGTTCCAGTATTCTATTGCTTGAACTTTTTATATGAATACTATTGGAGATATTGTTCCATTGGTTTTCGTTGAGTTCTTTGCCCAAGCCTTTCTGCCATACATTTTTTAGTGAAGTTAGAGATGACTCTTCATGATAAGTTAGAAGTTTGTATATTTTTGAAATTACTCATTTCTGTGGCTTAGCATTTATTATCAAATTCTCCAATTCTGACACCTCTCCTGCTATTTTGTTTTTGCTCATCATACTATGAATACAGTGTCAAATTTGTAAGTACTTATAAAAATCGTGTTTAGGTATCTCAAATTCATCTCTTAAATCAGAGAATTCTTTGAGAATGTCATTTTTAAATAGTTGATTAATTTGTTTTATTCCCAGTATATCCCAATTTGATAGTACAGATTTCCCTATAGAGCTGGGCAGGTCAGGATTAGAGGAGAGAGGCGCCAGTCTTGAGATAAGCATTGAAAGACCACAATGCTTTTTCACCTCTTGCCAAGGACACAGGTTATTATAAACAACATAATTTTTTGGTACAGAAGGGATCATTTTCATATTATTAATGAATGGTATGGAGCTCAGAGAAACTGAGGAGTTAAGTTCTTTTTCAATATGCACCCAGTGTGTAGTATTTTGTTTATCAAACCAACCCAGCATTGCTTTAACTTGACATGACCAGTAGTACACCTGGAAGTCTGGAAGGTCCAATCCACCCCTTTCTTTTGATTTTGTTAATGTCTTGAGTGCTATTCTAGGTGTTCCTTTTTCCAAATGAATTTATTTAAATACTTGTTTAGTAATTTGAAAAAGCTTGTATCAATATAGCATGGTAGTGATTGATATAGATACATAAAGCGAGGAAGAATGTTCATTTTAATAACATTGATTCTGCCAATTAGTGAGATGGGGAGGAGATTCCAGTGTTCCAGTTCATCTTTGATTTTTCTAAGACTATATCCACACGAAGACAAAACGCTTATAATTTCAGAAACTTTTTCTGTAAACACGGAGTTAGCTCAGTAAATGTGTGCGTCCATATGAATGTAGTCAATACGCCTGAAAACGCTGTGAAACTATGCCAGACCTGTTGGTGGCGCTGTGACGCAATGACGGGATCAAGCCCAAACTTCCGTGACGGGAACTGGGCATGCGCAGAATTTTGTAAACAGACAACATGGCGAGTGGGCGAGCTGGTACTACATTAGTATGGACGGACGATGAGGTTGAACTGTTGCTTCGGGTCACACTGGATTACAAAACCAACAAGCTACAAGAAAGTGTCATTATTTTCTGAGTGCGGCGCATGCGTGCTTTAACAAGAGGCGGGGCAATGACGCAAGCGTCTCAGATACATTGCGGAGAGGCAGTAACTACGGAGCGGCATATACGGAGTTTTGAAATCTTTCCACTCTGGGACCTACTTTCAAAAATTTTCGTTTACACCCCCCCAAAACGCCGGCCTCGTATGGACGATACACTGGATTGATAAAGTATTTTTGCGTTTAGGCCTGAGCTTGACTTTGTGTGGACAGGGCCTAAGTGGCATATAGTTATTTTCAAAAAGGTCATCGAGTTTAGAGGTTACCTTTACTCCCAAGTACTTGAAACCGAGTTGTGTCCAGGAGAAAGGGGATAATTTATGTAATTGTCCAGTGGGGTTTGCATTAAGTAGTAGAGCATGAGTTTTTTTAATGTTTACTTTATATCCTGATATACTTCCAAATGTTTCGATTTCTTGCAGGATTATGAGGATTGATTTTTGTGGCTCTGTAGCATATGGTACAATGTCATCGGCGTACAATGAGATCTTATTGCTTATACCCTGGTATCAGCTCGTTCCGTCTTATGGTTTCTGCAAAAGGTTCAATGATCAAGTTGAATAGTAATGGCGACAGAGGACACCCTTGTCGGCAGCCTCTAGACAGGGGGATGCGGTCTGTAACGGAGCCATTTATAGATATTCTTGCCTTTGGTTCATTATAAATTGCTTTAATCCAACTAATGTAGTTTTCTCCTAAATTACATTTTTGTAATGCTTTTATAAGGTGTGGCCACTCGACCCTGTCGAACGCTTTTTCTGCATCTAATGATAATACTAGCGATTGTTGGTTGGACAGGGTCGAGTGGTCAATAATATTCAAAAGTCTCCTGATATTGTCAGATGCATATCTGGCTTTAGTAAAGCCCGACTGGTGAGGATTAATTAGTTGGGATATAAATTTCTGTAGTCTCTCAGCCAATAGTTTGGTTATTATCTTATAGTCAACTGGTAATAGAGAAATAGGGCGATAAGAGGAACATTCTGCAGGATCCTTGTCCTCTTTATGAATGAGGGTTATAATAGCTGTATCCATAGATTGAGGAAGCGTACCTTTTTTGTAAAAATCTTGAAGCATGGGCATGAAGAGCGGCATTAATTGAGGCCAGAAGGCTTTGTAAAATTCGATTGTAAACCCATCTATACCTGGTGATTTTCCAGAAGGTAGTGTCATTATAGCTTTTAGGACTTCATCTGCTGTAAATGGTGAGTCTAGATCTTTTTTATCCACAGTTGATAGAGTAGGGAGTATTATTCTTTCTAAGTATTTGTTTACCTCCATTTCTGGTGGGTTTTCTGCTGAGTAGAGTTTTGTATAGAAGTTCAAGAAGGCTTCGCTTATAGATTTTAAATCATGTTTGACAGTGCCATCAGATCGTATACATTTTATGGTGCGCTCTCCCTCCTCTTTTTTCAGTTGGTATGCCTATAGTCTGGTTGGTTTGTTTCCCTCTTCATAGTATTTTTGTCTAGTGAAGGTCAGCCCACTTCTTAATTTCTTCTGTTTGAACCTGATTAAGTTTATTTTTAATAACATTTAATTTCCTCAGATTTTCTTGAACTGGGAGCCTTTTATGGTTTTGTTCTGCGACTTGTAGTTGCATTTTTAGTGATTCTGTTTTTTTGTTTGCTTCTTTTTTCTTTTTTGACGTATAGGAAATTAAATATCCTCTAATAACTGCTTTTGCGGCATCCCAAATGGTGGCACGGCTCACTGGTGAATTAATATTTTCTTCAGTGTATTGTAAGATCCAGTGTCTAATCTTATCACAAGCATCTGCACAGTTGATAAGTGAGGAGTTAAATTTCCAATATTTGTTTTGAGATTTATGCCTTGAAATAAGGATATCGAAGTACACTGGAGAGTGGTCTGAGATAAGCATTGGGCCAATAGTACATGCTGCTACTGACGGAAGGAGATTATGCGGCAAGAAGAAGTAGTCTAGTCTAGAGTAAGTGTTATGTCTTGCAGAGTAAAATGTGTAGTCTTTTGTATTCTGGTTGAAATGTCTCCATACATCAGTTAGTGCTACCTTTGCTGTTGCATCTTTTAAAGCCCAGGATGCTCTGGGAATACTTATACCTGTGGAGCTCCTATCCATTGTACTTGTAGCCCTGTGTAATATTATTACATACCATAATAGTTGCACCCCATAGTTTTATTTTATAACCACCGTTTTATTGTACATAATTTTGAAATGCAATGCTTGGTTCCGCCAGCAGAGGGCGCTTGGTGCTTTCACTAGTGGTTGCTGCCGGGGCAACGCTAGAAGTACAGTTAGTACTTAACGTGATGAGACTGCACCGAGTGAGCTCCTGCATTCAATGTCTGTTTTACGTGTTTTGCAGGTAGGCTGGTTTGTTAAAAACACACAGATGATGGCTAACAGTGGTGACATGTATTGTGTACAGCTTTGAGTGCCTTTGATTGAGCTAAAGGGGCAAAAGGGATACTTTGGGGTGATTGTATCAGTTGGGGTTGCCGCGAGTCAACAGTGTAACCGTTGGTAGTCGCGAGACAACGGCCACAAACGTATCTGAAACTGTATTTTTTTGTAAGAATTGTATATTTGATAGTGGTTAAAGATGGCTCAATGTTAACATGTTTCTTAAGAGTCAAACTGAATTTAGAGTTTATTTAAAATAAAACACGGGTCCTTTGTCAAGGTGAGATAGGTGGACTTGCATGACTAATGTGATAGGGCAGAGCGTATTCTCCATACAATGTGACTTCATACTGGTAATGACATGATTGTAAGCTGGGAAATATTAGAACAGTATCTATAATTAATAATATTGAGAGGAATGTGTTTTTTTTTTTGTGTGTGTTTTGATCATATTGCAGATAGAGATTTCAGTACAGTATTTATGTGTGTAATTATACTTAAATGTATAGTAGAAGTACAGTTAGTACTTAACGTGATGAGACTGCACCGAGTGAGCTCCTGCATTCAATGTCTGTTTTACGTGTTTTGCAGAGCCTGAATTAAATTTTAAATGTGCTGCACATGAATGAGTTGGCCCATCATTCAAAGAAGTGTAACATATTTTGGCGAGCCAGCCAGGAGGAGGCGATAGTGAGTCACCGTCACGACCCTTCCTCCTTCCCAAGAGTCGAACCTTATTCTTCAAGCAACTATGGAGAAGATACAATTACTGCGTGACCAGTTGAGTGCAGCTTTATGGCAGCTGGAGCGAGACCTTCTCATCGATGTTTGTGGGCGACTGAAATGTTACGGCCTCAGCAGCGGAGAACCTCCCAGAGAGACAAAAAGGGCACTCATCAAGATGGCAGAGGACGTTTTTGATGAAGTCGAGAAAAAGGATAAAGATGATGAGGTAGAGCAGTTCTACATTGAATTGAGGACATACATTGGGAAACTGAATAAAAGTACAATTCAGTCAGATGTAAACAAGCAATCAGAACTCTTACCAGAAGAAGAACCGGTCAATGCCACTCCACCAAAGATTTCACCTCCACCACTCCGATTTCTCTCACAGCGAATAAACAACTTACAAGAGGTAACACTGAGAAGGGAGTTTAAGATAAGTGGGCAGATAGGGGAACATGGACAGAAAGAAAAGCTATCCTACCTTAGCCTTGTCCGCCAAATTGAGATGGGGATGGAAAAAGGACATCCAGAAACTGAAGTAGTTGAGGCAGTGATCAGAGCCATTAGCCCAGGCTTGCCTTTAAGAGATATGCTAGAGATTAAACGTGGACTGACCCTTAGTAAATTGCTCATCATACTAAAAGGCCACTACAGGGTAGACAGCTCCACCGAACTATACCACCAGCTTCTTAACATAACCCAAGAGCCTAAAGAGACTGCATTGAACTTTGTCTTTCGTGCTATTGAAATGAAAGAGAAACTATTGTGGAAAGGAGCAAACGAGGAAACTGATGAACTGTACAGTCGTGTCACCATTCAACGCAAGTTTCTACGCTCCATTGAAACAGGGCTGCTCAGTGATTCAATCAAGTACCAGTTGCTGCCTCTGCTCAGTGGTCTGGGCACGACAGATGAAGAACTAATTGAAAGAGTGAATGAAGTGTCAAAGCTTGAAAACGAGAGACTGGAGAAGCGTAAAAGAACAACTGCAGCCAAGATTCCCAAAGTACAGGAACTCCAAACAGAGTGCCAAGCGGACCCAATTCAGAGCCCCAAGCTAAGAGAATTTCAGACTACAGTGGATGTGAAAGCAGTTAAAGGTAGAGAGACTAAAAACGAATGTACAAACACACAGCAGATCATTGAGGAGTTGCGGAAAGAAATGAAGCAAATGTTCATGACTGCAATGGAAGTGAATCCCCGTCCATTAGGATCAAGGCAGAGGGAAAGAGGCTGTAGGAAATGCAGAGATGAGGGGCGCGGGGAAAACTGTGGACACTGTTTCAAATGTGGACAGGAAGGTCACTTCTCTCGTGGATGCAGAGCTCAAAGGCCCTCGGGAAATGGGGAGGGACTACTGAGACGGGACCAGCAGTAGTTCAAAACCCAGTGTCCCAAAGTGAGCAACGCCAAGGTGAGCAACGAAGTCCTCTTCAAATTTCCACAGCAACAACAAACAGTGCTCAGTCAGCCATAAGTGAAGTTCACTACCTGCCTCCTCAGCGAAAGTCACAGTTAATAAGCCTTGTTGGTAACAGGTGTACAGTTAATTGTTATATGGATAACCACCCAGTTAAAGTGTTGTGGGATACCGGGGCACAGTCCAGCATAGTCAATGAAAACTGGCGGCAGAGATATCTTCCCCATACTGCTGTACGGCCCATTGCAGAGCTGTTGGACGGTGAGACCCTTACAGTATATGCTGCCAATGACACGCCCATTCCATATATTGGCTGGATTGAAGTCAGCTTCAGACTTGAGGGTGATGTATCCAGAGCAAGTGAGCTACAAGTGCCCATATTAGTGTGCAATGATCCAGCTGTGGCCAGTGATCCCATTATTGGTTATAATGTGATCGAGACTGTGATGAACAAAAGTGAAGTAAAGACTAAAGGGGGACAAAAACAGCTTGCACATAGAGTTAGTAAAGCTTTTGAAATAACAGTTCAAGTTGCACACAACATTGTCAAGTTGGTACAAAACAGCAGAGTAGAGACTGGTGTATTACGTATCGGTGTCAGAACCATCAAATTACCAGCTAACAAAGTCACCATAGTCTATATGCGGGCACATGTTAGTCCAGGGGCCAGAGGTCAAGATATGTTGTTTACACCTGACCCACCACCAGAGGGAGTTGTATACAATGATGCACTGGTTAAAATTCCTGATAAGAAAATGCCATATGTGCCCATTCCTGTAACAAACAGTACACATCACACCATGTATTTAGCCAGTCATGAAGTAATTGGACACTTAGAGTCAGTCAAGACAGTTTATTGTGCAAGCATTCCAACAGGAGAATCAAACGAAGAGAAACAGAGTACAGGGTTAAAATCACACCAGTTGAGTCACACAGACAAGCGAGAGATAGAAGAAACAGAGAGACCAAAGTCATGGGATCCACCCGTTGATCTTCAACACTTAACACAGACGCAACAAGAGACAGCAAGGAAAATGTTGAGGGAAGAATGTGAGGCGTTTTCATTTGATGACGATGATGTGGGCTGCATACCATCTCTAAGAATGCACATAACCCTACATGACCCCAGTCCAGTACAAAAGACCTACATGTCTGTCCCAAAGCCCCTTCACAATGAAGTCAAAGAGTATTTGCAAGACCTGCTCAACAAAGGATGGATCACGCCCTCAAGGTCGCCCTACTCATCGCCTGTGGTTTGTGTGCGCAAGAAAGATAGCACTCTCCGTCTTTGTTGTGACTTTAGGGAACTCAATAGAAAATCAGTCCCGGACCGCCACCCAATACCTCGGATTCAGGACATGTTGGATGCGTTAGGTGGGAGCTCATGGTTTTCAGTTTTAGACCAGGGAAAAGCGTACCACCAGGGTTTCCTAGATGAAGACAGCCGCCCGCTAACAGCTTTCATCACACCCTGGGGACTGTATGAATGGGTGCGCATTCCATTCGGCTTGAGCTCCGCACCTGCTGAGTTCCAGAGGAGCATGGAACATTGTTTGGCTGGTCTCAGAGACACTACTTGCCTCCCGTACCTGGATGACAATCTAGTACATAGTAACTGCTTTGAAGATCATGTTGAGCACATCCGTCTGGTCCTCCAGCGTTACAAAAAGCATGGTGTGAAATTAACCCCAAAGAAATGTGAGCTTTTCAGGTGCAGTGTCAAATTCCTCGGAAAGCTGGTGACGGGGGAAGGCTATACCATGGACCCGGCAGAGATGGCGCCAGTGAGGGCTCTGAAAGAAAAGACACCGGTAACAGTCGGAGAGGTACGTCAAATGCTGGGATTCCTCTCATACTACAGGCCCTTTATCCCCAACTTTTCCCGTGTGGCCCATCCGTTGTACAGCCTGCTCAGTCCTCCAGCTCCTGTTAATGACACTCCAATCCGAGCAGAGAAGTCAAAAAAAGGGGTTATCAAAAAAAATAAAGGCCACTTACCATCACGCACTCCCACCCAATGGACTAGCTCACACCAGGAAGTGCTGAACCAACTTATAGACGCCCTTACCAAACCCCCAGTCCTCGGATATCCAGACTTCACCCAGCCTTTTGTGTTACACTGTGATGCCTCACAAGTTGGTTTAGGTGCTGTCTTGTACCAGAGACAACAGGGGAAGATGAGAGTGATAGCATTTGGCTCTCGCACCTTAAGCCCTGCAGAGAAAAAGTACTACCTACACTCTGGCAAGTTAGAATTTCTAGCGATGAAGTGGGCCATCTGTGAACGTTTCCGGGATTACCTGTACCATGCTGTATCATTTGTGGTATACACAGATAATAACCCGTTAACATATGTGCTCACATCAGCGAAACTCAATGCAACAGGCCATAGATGGCTCGGGGAGCTGGCTGATTTCAACTTCATAATACGCTATCGTCCAGGCAAGAATAACGCTGACGCTGATGGACTGTCTCGCATGCCATTAGACATTGGAAACTACATGAATACGTGTACAGCTGAAATCACACAAGAAGCTATAAGTGCATCCATGGAATCTGTGACAGTGGAACAGAGTGACCCCTGTCAGGGTGTGGGGGTAATCCAGGTCAGTGCTTTAACACTGATAAAGGACTCTAACACAAATACACCTCTCACCCCAAACCAGATTCGCAAAGCCCAAGAAGAAGATGACATTTTGGCCAGAGTCATTTGGCATAAGTCACAAGACAAGAGACCAAGTAGAGCCGAGGTAAAATCCGAGCCTCCTGCTGCCGCCTCACTGCTCAAGCAATGGTTAAAGCTTCACATTGATCCAGATGGAGTCCTACGCCGTAAAACATTGCACCGAGAGCAGATACTGCTTCCTAAAATCTTTCGTTCCCTGGTCTACAAAGAACTGCACCAAGATATGGGGCACTTGGGGGTAGAGAGGACACTCGATGCAATCAGGGAAAGGTTTTACTGGCCACAAATGAGTAAAGATGTAGAACATTTTGTGACAGAAGAATGCGAGTGCCTCAAGAAGAAAAAGCCAAGTAAACAGACACGTGCACCCTTAAAATCAATCCATACTTCATATCCATTCCAGCTGGTGTCCATAGACTTTGTCCACTTAGAAAAGTGCAAAAATGGCTATGAGTACATTTTAGTAGTTATGGATCACTTCACGAGGTTTGCTCAAGCCTACGCTACAAGAAACAAAACAGCCAAAACAGTAGCTGACAAATTGTTCAATGACTTTGCGCTCAAGTTCGGATTCCCTACAAAGTTACATCACGATATGGGCAAAGAGTTTGAAAACAAGTTGATGGCAAGACTAAAAGAACTGTCAGGCATCCAAGGTTCTCACACCACGCCTTACCATCCACAGGGTAATGGACAGGTGGAGAGATTTAACCGCACACTGTTGTCCATGCTGCGCACCCTGGAGGACAAAGAGAAGGAAGATTGGAAAGAGTCACTTGCTAAAGTTGTTCATGCCTACAACTGCACCAAAAGTGAAGCAACAGGTTACGCTCCATATTATCTTGTTTTTGGTCGTTCCCCCCGTTTGCCTATTGACATGCTGTTCAACATAAAAAAAGAAGAGTCCCACGTTGACTATAATGACTATGTGATTAACTGGAAAGAGAGAATGCAAGAAGCATATGACATTGCAGCAAAAACAGCTGTTAAAGAAGCAGCTCGAGGAAAGTCATACTACGACAAGAAAGTTAAAGGTAGAGATCTTCGGCCAGGTGATCGGGTTCTACTCAGGAACCTTACACCCAGAGGTGGGCCCACAAAGATTCAGTCCTATTGGGAAGATCAAGTCTACACCATTCGAGAGAGGAAAGCTGAAGATAGCCCAGTGTATCAAATAAGTCCTGAGAATGGTAGAGGGAGAGACCGAGTTGTGCACAGAAATCTTCTTCTACCCTGTGACTTTCTTCCCTGTGAGAAAACACCAACAGCGACACCTGCTACAGCCAAGAGGAAGTCCCGACCCCCACGGCGAGAGCAGCAGCCGCCCGAGTCTGGAGACACATCCGACGACAACGATTGCTGTGGAACTTACCAGTGGCACCTCCGACCCGGTCCGGGAAGATGGCAGCAGCAGCAGGCTCCACTCAATCCACTGGCGGTGTCCTTCCAGCCTCATCAGGACCCAGCGCAACCAGAAGAGGATTTGCCACTACAGAGCGAAGAGTATTTGCCACTACAGAGCGAAGAGGATTTGCCACCACAGAGCGAAGAGTATTTGCCACTACAGAGCGAAGAGGATTTGCCACTACAGAGCGAAGAGGATTTGCCACTACAGAGCAAAGAGAACGTTCCAGTGCAATCCCTTGACTGGCCAGGGCGTGGTGAGTCCCCGACAGACAACGCTGCTGTCAGTGGAGGTATGACTGAGACACAGCGACCTCAACGACAGCGGCAGCCCCCAAAGGTACTGAGTTACAACACGCTAGGCCAGCCGACTCTAGTTCAGAGAGACAATAAGGTAAAGACTCAGGTTATTGCGACTGACTGTTTTTGGAGACCGTGGTCCGTCCAAGTGTATTAAGAGACTGTATTTATAGAAATGCCAGGAGACATTTTATTTTGTGGGGGAGAGTGTAGCCCTGTGTAATATTATTACATACCATAATAGTTGCACCCCATAGTTTTATTTTATAACCACCGTTTTATTGTACATAATTTTGAAATGCAATGCTTGGTTCCGCCAGCAGAGGGCGCTTGGTGCTTTCACTAGTGGTTGCTGCCGGGGCAACGCTAGAAGTACAGTTAGTACTTAACGTGATGAGACTGCACCGAGTGAGCTCCTGCATTCAATGTCTGTTTTACGTGTTTTGCAGGTAGGCTGGTTTGTTAAAAACACACAGATGATGGCTAACAGTGGTGACATGTATTGTGTACAGCTTTGAGTGCCTTTGATTGAGCTAAAGGGGCAAAAGGGATACTTTGGGGTGATTGTATCAGTTGGGGTTGCCGCGAGTCAACAGTGTAACCGTTGGTAGTCGCGAGACAACGGCCACAAACGTATCTGAAACTGTATTTTTTTGTAAGAATTGTATATTTGATAGTGGTTAAAGATGGCTCAATGTTAACATGTTTCTTAAGAGTCAAACTGAATTTAGAGTTTATTTAAAATAAAACACGGGTCCTTTGTCAAGGTGAGATAGGTGGACTTGCATGACTAATGTGATAGGGCAGAGCGTATTCTCCATACAATGTGACTTCATACTGGTAATGACATGATTGTAAGCTGGGAAATATTAGAACAGTATCTATAATTAATAATATTGAGAGGAATGTGTTTTTTTTTGTGTGTGTTTTGATCATATTGCAGATAGAGATTTCAGTACAGTATTTATGTGTGTAATTATACTTAAATGTATAGTAGAAGTACAGTTAGTACTTAACGTGATGAGACTGCACCGAGTGAGCTCCTGCATTCAATGTCTGTTTTACGTGTTTTGCAGAGCCTGAATTAAATTTTAAATGTGCTGCACATGAATGAGTTGGCCCATCATTCAAAGAAGTGTAACATACTGTCCATACAGCAGTTGAAGTCCCCCCCAATTAAGCCAATTTTAGTGTTATATTGACTGTATAATGTTATGATTTCTGTCATGAATTGTGGTCGGTCTTCATTTGGAGCGTAGACATTTAGTATAGTGACATCATTATCTAGTAAGGTTCCATGGATTAAGATGTATCTGTCCTCTGGATCGTCTTGTTGTGACTTCAGAGCAAAGTGTATATCCTTGCTCAATAAAATGGCTACGCCCCTTCTATTTTCATTGAAGCTTGAGTAGTATATTTGCCCTTTCCAGTCCTTTTTTATTTTTTTGTGACCCCCACTGGACAAGTGAGTTTCTTGCAATAGTGCAATATCAACTTTTTCATTTTTCAGGAATGTCATGACTCTACTGCATTTATTTGGATTCCTTAAACCTCTAACATTAAGAGTTACTACTTTCAATGTACTACTGTAGACATGTATATTTTTTATGTACAAGGTGACTATCCTTAGGAATAGTTGGCAAAAAAGAAAATAAAATAAAATAAAAAGAAAAAACAGGTAAGTATTTGTCATAAGCATATCCTCTCCCACCCCACCCACCTTTCCCCTCTCCCCTACCCCCTCCCCGCCCTCCCACGAGATCCCCCCTTGTCCCTCCCCCCACCTCCCGTCTATTCCCTCCCTCTCGCCGTCTCCCTTATTCTTCACCCGTTCCTTCTCCACCCTGTCCCTCCCTCTCCACCCCCTGCTAAGTCCCCCCCCCTGCCTACCCTATCCAAACAGTGTCCCAGTCAAATATGACTCCAAAAGTGTCTCCTACAGTCACCGTTGCATTATTTTTTATTTATTTTATGTTTTAAATTGCTATTATTATTTTTATATATTTTACCCCCAGACCGTGTTACCCGACAAAGTGTTAGATCATCTTAAGTAATTATATTCAAACATTCAGTCCATTGTCCGTTGTACTGTACTCCGTTAATACGCCTGTTTACAAAGCCAGTTCAATTATAGTGGTCGAATGCACTCACCAGTGAGTTATACTTATGTTTGAGAGATCTTCTCTTTATCTTTCGTGATCTTACGGTGAAATTCCTCCGCCTCTCGTGGAGAGGAGAAAAGCTGAATTCGTCCTTCATGCAGAATCCTCAGTTTACATGGGTTGTGAGAGAATCCACGGAAAGTCCCCATGCTAATGAACTGCTTTATCACTCCGTTGAATTCCTTCCTCTGTCGCACTGTATCTGGCAATAGATCTTGGACAAAGCTTAATTTAACTCCGTCATGTATTACGTTCCTAAGTTTTATTTGGATTTCTGATTCGTTTTACCCTGGACTATTATTTATTATTATTATTAAATCTTTATTTTTTGGCATTCCTGCATTTTGGGTCCTCAAAAATGCATGACAATCATGACTTTGTGTTTGCAGTGTGACAGTTCTGCTGTGTCATGGGGCAGCAGTGACGTATCCCCTCTAACCCGCTGACGAGAGAAAACAGGAAGTGATGTCTCCTTAATCACTGGCCACAGGAAAATATGAGGAGGAAGTGGTGAAAATACACTGCATGATTATGGAAAATTGACTTGATCAAACCAGCTCACGTTTATGGACTGATGACACATTTCACTGAAGTGACCAGATACTTTAGCTAGCTTCGAGTTTTAAATGGCACCTTCACTGACTTATTCCCACAAAGCAAACACAAGATGTGTGTTCCTTCCTTCCACACTGAGCCATGCTGTTTTCTCTGCTGCTGCTACATGAGGCTCAGAGAAAGAAGATTTTAAAACAAGTCACAGAGGGACAATACCCTGCATAATGACAGTGCAACGAGCCGTGGAGCTGTGTGAAAAACATTCAACTTTGTTTAAGCCAGTCTACAACACAAAGCCTCATTGCTTATTGACCTGTTTTATTTCAACCACAGCAGCTAGACTCATTGGCCCTCATTTATGAAACTTGCGTAGGGACAAATCAGGGTGGGAATGAGGCATCTGGAAAAGAGTCTGGAGGTGGCGTAAATTATTCACCCATCTCAACACGCATCAAATTCAAAATTTGCACAACGATAAAAATATTATCACATATTAAACATATTGCCACAAATCAGAGAAGCAGGACATATACACAGCCACACCTGGACATAGCTAAAAGCTAATGTTAGCTTTAGCGTTAGCCACAGCACCTTATCTGCATCATGGTAAGAAAACAGAACATTCACTCCCGCTACTGATTATTCTGACGATTGTTTTATGGGGATTCTCTGTGTTTTATTTGAGGCTTGTCCCTGAATAAGTTTAGCTAAAACTTGTGACAGTAGTTGGACTGTGCTCGGATTGGGTAAGAACATCCTGAGACTGTGTTGCAGGTTCTGCCTCGTTCTCATTGTCAGTGTGAAAAAAGTTACGTATTGTTCACATTCGAGTCTGTTGTGTACAAACTACACAATGTGCCTCCTGTTGTGTTAACACTGTCTTTAGGTGCTGCTATGATGCCAGACTTTTGCCTAATTATTTTTCGAAAAGATTGGCGTTTGGGTCATTCTTTTACATAACTGTGGTCCTCCGTGGTTCTTTTATATAACTTTGGTCTTCCATGGTTCCTTATTCAAACGTGTGAAGACACGGTGAAAGCAACAATATCAATAGCTTTTGTGAAACGAAAACGCGATTCTCGCAGCCTTTTTGTCCCTTATCCACCACCGTATTTCAAGATGCCGTATACCGAGAGGACTCCTCTCTCATGGACATTTATGAGTGAAATTCTAAGCTCATGAAAACAATTTAAAAAACATGGTGGAGGTAAATATTCTAAAAACATGTTTTATCAAATGGAACAACTGAAAAAATGACACGGGGTAGCTTTATAAGTAAAGATTGTTGTATGTGTATAGCACCTACAGTCCATGCGCAACGGCAATTGGTTAATGCGGGTCCAAGTAAAGACGCGCGCCACCATGGAGCGCTGAGCGGGTCTGATCAGTGTACCACATGATCCTGGCTCTATGCTCCACAACCGCAATGTGCCATTGGGTGTATACACCCAAAATGTACACCGTTTTCTGCGCAAGTTTCATAAATGTTCATATAAGACCTGGATCACTGGACTTAATGACTACAGACCGGTTGCAGTCATCTGTAGTCATGAAGTCATTTGTCCGCCTGGTCTTCCCCCACCACAAGTCCTTCACTTCCTTCCTCCTGGACCCCCTTCAGTTCGCCTACACTTCATCCTGCAGCACCTGGACTCCAAGGATCCTACGCCAGGATCCTGTTTGTGGACTTGAGCTCTGCTTTCAACACCATCCTGCCAACCCTGCTCCAGGACAAGATCCTCCAGCCTCGGCTTCGTGAAGCTGATCAAGTTTGCGGACGACACCACCCTCATTGGCCTCATCTCCAACAACGATGAGTCAGCCTACAGGAGGGAGGTGGACCGGCTGGTGTCCTGGTGCAGTGGTAACAACCTGGAGCTGAACGCCCAGAAGACAGTGGAGATGTCGTCCCCCTCGCCCTCCCTGATGGACTCCCCCATCACCTCTGTGGAGTCCTTTCCTGGGCACCACCATCACCCAGGACCTCAAGTGGGAGCCGACCATCAGCTCCATCATCAAGAAGGCCCAGCAGAGGATGTACTTCCTGCGGCAAAGCAATTTCCTAGTCTGTGACTTCCTGTTATTTACATGGCAATAGATTAATCTAATTCTGATATAACAATTATATCAAACTATACAGTTTTTTACCTATTATGTGAACACATGCAAATTTTTGCTCATTGTCGCAAAACTCTACACACGTGATGACTTAACACAACATTGGGACATCAACCATTCACATCCGTCTCAAAAAGAAACTCCTTCATCACAACTCAAACTCTGCACTCAATACTAAACAATAATTTGTCAAAATGAAACTCTATGGACAAAATGATACACACTTGTATCATGTGAACACACTTTCATGTTCACAGTTTTTATTCTGTTTATCAATTAGTTTTCTGTGAAGCTCGATGGAACTGTTTTTGTTCTCAACAAAGGTTTACCAACTTTTCAGTTTTTACTGTACCTGAAACGTTACAAATTATATCAACTCAATACTGTAAATCACTACAGTATACTGTAAATCACAGTACTACAGTATACTTTATTGTCTGGCATGCGCCTCCTGTTCGGCGACCCCACTCGCATCTCTGTGTGGAGTGAGTGGACAAATGCCCAAAAATAAATGTGAAAGGCGCTATATAAATAAAGATTACTTACTTACTTACTTAAAGACTTGGAGGACAGAGATGTAATTACACCTGTCAATGAGCCCACAGACTGGGTGAACACTCTTGTTGCCACACAGAAAAAGAATGGATCACTGAGGGTGTGTTTGGACCCTTGTGATTTGAACCGTGCAGTCAAACGGCAGCACTATTCCATTCCCACAAATACTAAACGCGGCAAGTTAGCCAGAAAATCAATCTTCACTATACTAGATGAGAAGGATGGGTATTGGCAAATAAAGCTAGACAAAGCATATTCCAAGCTCTGTACCTTCAACACACCATGGGGCCGGTATCGTTTTCTTCGGCTTCCTTTTGGGATCAAATCTGTCAGTGAGGTTCAACAAAAGAACTGTGAAACTTTTGGAGACATTCCGGGCTTATTTATCATTGCAGACGACATGATCATTGCTGCCAACTCGGAACGTGAGCATGATGATATTTTACGGAAAGAGCAAAAACAGCAAATGTGAAATTTAACAAGGACAAGATTCAGTTCAAAGTGGACAATGTAACATACATCGGCCACATAATAACAGCAGCAGGGCAGAAAGCAGATGACACAAAGATAAAAGCCATAGTGGAAATGCCCACTCCAGAGGATAAGCAAAGCCTCCAAAGACTGCTGGGAATTACAAAGTTCCTTGCACAATACATACCAAATGAAGCATCTATAACTGCACCGTTAAGGCAGTCACTCATAAAGGACAAGATGTGGCAATGGCAGCCACACCATACTGAGGCATTGCAAACACTCAAGACAACGCTGACACAAGTACCAGTTTTGGGATTTTATGACCTCAAGAAACCACTATTGCTACAAGCTGACTCTTCGAAGGATGGTCTGGGAGCGTGCCTGCTACAGGAAGGACGGCCTGTATGCTATGCGTCATGAGCTCTCGCAGACACAGAAAAAAGGTATGAACCAATAGAAAAGGAGCTGCTGGCCATTGTGTTTGCTGCTAAAAGATTCCACCAGTATGTTTATGGAAGACCAGTGACTGTGCAGTCCGACCACAAGCCTCTTGAGGTAATCATGCGCAAACCCCTCTGTAAAGCTCCAGCAAGGCTACAGGGGATGTTGTTACAACTCCAGAGGTACAATCTCACTGTCACGTACACACCAGGCAAGCACATGTACATAGCCGACACTCTCTCGCGGGCCGTGACAAACAGTAAGGACGAGGACATTGACGTAAACACTAGTGATGAGAGAGAAGTGTATGTTATTGAGGCCACAGATGCACTGAGTGAAGAAACCTTAAGAAAACTCAAAAATGCAACGACAGAAGATATTGTTGCTGCAAGCAGCGCGTGAAAAACACATGTCTGGATGGCCTGACCGTAAAAAAAAGTTTGGACAGGGAGCTCCACAGCTACTGGTCAGTTCGTCACAATATCTCCATTCATAATGACATTGTTATGGTCGGTGACAAAATCATAATTCCACAAAACTTCAAACAAGCGATCCTTGCTCATCAGGGAGTGCAGCGCACAAAAGCGAAAGCAAGGAAAGTACTTTACTGGCCTGG